TGTACACATATTTCTTTCATTGAGTATTTTGACCAGAATAGGATTCCCAAACAAATCTTGAAGGTTTTAATAACATAACAATAAATAAATAAAATTAGATGCTTGATAAAAACTGTTCTGTTAAAATTTAATCCATATACTTTATTTTGTAGCAATGCCACCAACACACCAAAGCATTCTAAAATATATTCATAAAACTTAAAATTCAGTTCAGCAAAATAATATTGTAAATACAGGCTTACTTATAAACAATATTTACAATCATCCAGGGGAACTCCGAATCAAGGTTGTTACCTGAACCGAATGCAGGACTTCATGGGCTTCTCTTTCAACTGCACCACTGTTACTATTAGTCAGAGGAGGCTGAATGAGCAAACTATGACTACAGACATCAGTGGATTGAAAAGAGAATCTGGCCATTGGCAATCCATAATATACCATGATGTATATAGTTCGTATGAATTTTGACTGGAATAGCTAGATATTTTTGGTTTAAGAAAATTTCGCTATCTCCAAGAATTCTAGTCTGCAGGCCCAGATAGATTTCATGAGTGTAAAAAGGTTGCTCTGTCCTTGAAAGGACAAGCATCACTGCTTCTTGCTTTGGTTTAGAAGTATTTGCTGAATCACCTAGCATATTACTCTTGGCACTACTTCTAGGCCTTCACTTAGCCCTCTAAGTCCACTTTTCCTATTTCCTTAATTGATTTTAGTTTACATATATTATTCATTTATGTAGATTAATTATTATTAATTTTTGTTTTATTTTTGATCTTTGAAATATAATGGAGGGAGGGGAGATATTCTCGTCCCCTTTCTATTTTTATTGGGGGAGGCGATCGCCCCTCTCGTTCCCCCGAGATCTGCTCCTAAGCTCCTAATAGACACAATATAAAAATTATTTCAGAAGGAGATGGAGGGGAACCTCCTTTCCTCTCCCCCAAGTTTGCACCTATGCTCAGAATTATTTAAATTTAGATTTTAAAAATTAACTAGATATAATCACACCAGTCTCTTTAAACTTCTAAATTAAATTATCATTCATGAAACAGAAAAATCAAATAGACTTAAGGATGCAGCTAGGCTAAGCTAGAATACAAGTATGAAACAAATCGACTGTGTATTGGCTCTCTTTGGCCAATTGAAACAAATTGCCACATTATCTCTATCAAACTAATGTAGTCTTTAAAGACCCATAATATATTATGCCTAGATTTTTATGATCAACTATTTAGTTACTTAATTTCAAAAAATTAATTCATATTCATGTTGTTGATAGCTTTATCAAATGATGTTTTATTCAAGCTGTTTAAAATTTATTTAATTTGTTACTTGATTTAAAAAATATTTCACCATATTCACATTTATTCTAAAGGGACAACAGTCACAGATTAATAAAAGATATTTTCAATTCATGATTTAAAATGATATTTTCTGTTATATACTAGTAATAAATATTGTTTATGAAATTTCAGTTCTATTCAAATTATATCTGCTTTGTGTTTTATGTATTACAACTAGGATATTCAAATGAAATAGAATATCATTTCTAAGGTCAGGGACACTGAACAGTTGATATCATTTCAACATTGTCACATGGTCCTTTATTCTATCAGCCATAAATTATCAGATAAATTTGTTTTAATTATTAATTACTTGTTTCTAAAGACAAACATTACTAATTTTGGTCTTGGTTATATCTTGCAACTATTTTATTTTCTATTTCTTCATTTTGAATAGTTAAATATTCAAAATTTATTATGATACCATAATGTTTTTAAGACTATATTGATATCTAAATTTATTAAAATACAAAATTCAGGTTTATGAAAAAAAATGCGAATATGAAACCCTTAGGAGAAAGAAGGAAAGAAATAATAAGAAGCTGTGGAAGACTGCTGCAGAGTCTATTGTTAATCTAAAGAACGAACAATTTTTGTTCAATTCAAATAAGTCATTGAAAATAATTCTTCTTGTCTGAAATTCTAATTTAATTATTTCATCAAGAAAATCGTTTTTCTCCAAAATATTTTTTTTGGTGAAATAATGTCTATGAAATAATTGTTTATCCTATTGTTATAGTAAATAATAGTAAATGATTAAAGTATTGCAGAATTTAAAATAACTCTAAATCCATTAAAAGTCAGTCATTATTTGTTAGATTTGTAGAATTAGGATGAGGACCATGTGAGGCCATAACAACAAACAATTATTACTTTTCCTAATGAATTCATCTTTTGATAATTATTTTGTGCTATAAATATATATATTTTTTAATATTACCATTATAGATTAGAGATTTGAACTTGTTGATTTATGTAAATTGTTATGGTTGATTCAGCTTTTTAAATATGATGATTAATATTGACTTGTATTGTTAAGAACTAACTATTTTACTAAATATTTCAAGATGTAACTATGCATAACCCCCATTGATCAAGTATTTAACTTCCATAAATCATTTATAGTAATACTAAATTTGTTATTTTAAGGCAGCTTACTTTTCCATTGTAGGATACCTCTAATTTCTTTCAACAATCTTTATGAATTACTGATATTTTCCTTCGAAATCAACTTCAAGTAGAACTTATCTTTACTTAGAAGTTAAGGAAATATATGTTTTGACATAAAAATAATAGAATAGGTCAGTATGTCAGTCTACAATTAAACCACATATTTACTGGTTTATTTCCACACAATTGACAAATATTTCAAGTGATTCATTGTTCAAGTTACATTAATACTTGTAAATACTTTAGATATTTTCATAGAAGTATTCATCTGAATAGTTACTCATGTAAAATCTGAGACAGTTAAAATGGAAGTGGCTTAAATCTGATAATCACAAAAAATAAGAAGAGAGTACAGTACAATTATACAATGTTTAAAAAAAAAATACTGTTGTATAAATGACAGCTTTGAAATGAGAGAGAAAAACATCCACTAAATATTGTAATGTGTGATTAATTTGCTAAATTTCATATTTTTAAATCGTTTTTAAAAGTTTACCAAAAATGTCGCGTCTGAATTTTTGTGGATCCCTGGTCTAGAGCAACCTATGTCCCCCCTACCTCCCTACTCTTATGATTGGTGATTATTTGAAAAAAAAAGGTTGTCTTATCTGAAGTCATTAGTAATTTGTATATACTTCAAAATCTGATTCCACCTTTTGAGTTTGAAAACTTTACCCTTGCAAAGTACTCGACTGTTGCCCCTGGTAAGAGATAAGACTGTGACTGTTTGGCTGACTGACATTGGATAAGAGGAACAGACGAGGGGATTGTGGTACATTAGGAAATGGATGGGTTGGCGTGGCTCAGTGGATCAGTGGACGCCCTTTGTCGCTATTAGCTGGCACTGCCCTAACCGCCTCAATAAGCCCTTGGCTTTCTAAATATACTCTAGTCTCTTTTATTGTCCCAACTGATCCAGATTTTTATATGTCACTTACAGGCATTTAATTAATTTAGTGATGTAATTAATCTACTCCCTAAGGCGCAGACTTTTATAGTATATTTTGCTCAGCTTTGTGTGAGATTGTAATGGAGGAGGTACTACTCTGGTCGATTATCGCGATGTGTCTTGTTAAAAAAAAAGAAGATTGGAACATCTCAGAAGTACCCGGCGTTCAAAGTGGTCGCGGAAGTGGCTTCTAAAAAGGTTTGCTAAAGCTGTACCGTCTTCGAAATGCATGAAGTGATGGAACTTTTAAGTACAACTTTAAATCTTTAGTTCTAAATCCATTGAACAGATATATAAAGGTTAAATGATAATGATTGGTTTTTAATTTATTTATTTAAAAAAATACTTTTCTGGAAATGGTTTTGATACAAATAATAAATTTGGTTAATATGGTAATTAGTAAAATATTATTTTATTATCAATTTCATAAATTGATCTTTTTGCAAATTAATTATTTTAAGGTAAAAAAGGAGTATTGAAGAAATTAGCCATTCTTATTAAATTTGTATTGATGAATTTTAAAACTAATTTACAATTTATTGTCATATTGTTTATATTTCTAACACATTCATTTTCATTTTCACTAAATTTCAAACATTCTCACTTTGTCCTAAATACTTTAAATATCCATGGTATTGTATAAAAAAAAAATTAAAACATTGAAATAGAGTAAGAATATATAATACTTTTAGTATTTGCAAAACTACATATATGTAGTTCTTAGTCTTTATAAATGTATTTATATATGTGTACATTTAACTTTATATTAGTATCTTTTTATGTAATAGAATTTTTTTATAGGACTATTTGTATTTGAAAAGAGTACAGTTTATTTTATTTTTTTCTGAAAATTAAAAATACACAAATATAGTACCACATGACTGATACAAAATCAAGATGATAATGTATACCGATAGCCATAGAGGAAAAGTCAGTGCAATTTTATTAGAACGTGTGGTTTTGACCTTTTCTGATCGATCTTGGCCTTATGCACATTCAGAAAGAGCAAGTTTCTAAACACAGCACTGAGCTCATTGATAGTATTCTTTATACCAGTTTAGTTTACATCTATATTTGAAGCATGCATTAAAATTTGAATAGAAAATCTGATTCATAAAATAATAAATAAGTAGTTTATTAGGTGTAATGAATAATTTTATTTTTTTTTATTGACAGACTTTAGCAATGTGGCTGTCGATATACTGTCTAGTTGAATAAAAATTAATCTTGCGTATAAAGGACTTATCATTCAATTACTGTTAGATATGTATTTTAATGTATATATTATATTATTTAACTCCAACTATCCTCAATATACTATATTATACTAACTTTACTAACAATTATCTTAGAATAATCCAATAATTTTTTCCATCGGACATATTTTAGATTGATATTGGTATATAATAGTTTATACTGTTCTTACTAAATTTATATTTACAATAACATTGACTAGCACCAATCATATTTCAGTGATTATTATATGCTCAAGATACAGTGTAGCGAAAAAACCAAAAAAAAATAGTGATTTGTATAAATCATTTTTTTTTATTCACTGATTCTTTCTTGATGAATCCTATTTTGTCAGCTCCTGAAAAAATAAATAAATAAATTTGTGACAATTAATCATTAAATGTGTCAAAATATAAGAAATGCTATTGTCAAGGTTTTAAGACCTTAAAGAAGGGTCCTCCAAACTATGGCCCACAGGTTGGATTTGGACCAGGAATACCTTCATTTGGGCTAAAGATTTTTTAATTTCATAATAAAATTTACAATTATTTAAAAAATATGAAATTAAATAAATCACACTAACAGATGGTTACTACAACTTTTATTGCATTTTTTGTTTCTCTTAGAAAGCTCACTTCACAACTCAAGTATCATTTATCAATCAGTTACAACTCAAGCTTTTTTTTCTTCCCAAGCCATGGCCTTAGTGGAGGGCCCAATGTGGCTATCGGAACTTATTGAAGGTCTCAATGAGGTATACAGGGCAAAAATGTTTTTATATTAAATGTTAAAGGCCTCTAAAGATCTTAATTTCTACCATATTTATTGATCGAATAACTCATTAAGTGCATAATTATAATACAAATCCTTTTATATGTATAAAATAGTTTCACCAAGTGCACGATGTTCTGACGTTAAAAAGCAAAAAGTCATCAAGTTACTCAATGAAATTCTTGTTCTCTAAATAAGGTTTAAGTAGAATGTCAAAATTCACTATCTGGTACTTGATGACTTCTTTCACTGGATTAATTGATCAGATAGTTAATAAAAACAATTAAGCGAGATACGTCTAACTCATATTCTATGGACTTGCAAAGTTATAAAAGTAAGTAAGTGTTTTGTTTAACTATGATAGTGTGCAAAAAGTCACTATGTGTGTCGTAGTTTCATTTTTTTTTTCATTTTTATTCATTGTTATTTATACGTCGAATACTTTGATTAAATATTGGAAATAGAATACTGATTTAGAATTGCAAATAATAAAAAATAAATATTCAGATTGCTATTTTAGTATTTTTTTTAATGAATCAGAAACTTCAGATTCGATTATCTCAAATTCATTAAAATGTTACTTAATGATTGTTTGGAATAAACTGATAATTTATAGTCAAGAGGTGTTAATTATTAGAAAGCTGTTTGGTTGTAATTATTAGTAGATATTTGCCATGCACTTCATACACACCTTTACTAAGCAAATAAATAAATAAATGTGTGATGTAAATACATACTTTCAAAATCTTCTTTATATTTACATATAAGCTCGTGAAGTTCTGCACCATAACACGTTTCTATAATCAATTCTCCACCATATTGTGTTGGTAACACCTTTGGGTCAATAAACTCCAATAACGAAGTTTTTTTGTCTCCATGAAAATGTATCTATATAAAATTTAATGTAATAGCTCATTGCTTTAAATTATAAATTTGAAATACATAATATTTCTAAAAAGATATTTTTGTGCACTCACTCTATTGCGTAGTTTTTCTCCAATAAAAGGTTTGAATATATTGAACAACATATTAAAGATGAATGGTTGATTAACTATGTGAACAGCTTTCAATCGGAGAGCCATACATTCCTAAAAATAAAAAGGATGAAAATTATTAAAATCTTTTGTAATTGATTTTATTTTAATGTCCTTTTTTTCATTTTGAAATTGACTATAATTGAAGTGAAAATAAAAGCATTGTTTGAAAAAAAATAAGATGAATAAAATTGTGAGATAATTTCCAAATTGAAAAATGTATATTCAAGTAATAAAAAACATATTTGATTCGTAATCCTACTTAATTTTTTTTTCTTTTACACCTAAAATTTCAGCTCCTTAGGTTATTTTCAAGGGAAGAAACCTTACATTATAAAATAAAAATAAAATCATTTGGGCTGATTTGCCCTTGTATCATGCTTTTATCTAATACTGAACCTTTACCAGAAGCATGTGACAAAGTAGTCCAAATGATTTCATTCATTTTTATTTTATAAAGTAAGGTTTCTTCACTTGAAAGTGGCCTAAAAGGATGAAACATTGGGTAAAAACGAAAAAAGAAATTAGTATTAAATATCAAATTTGTTTTTTTATTATTAAAAATAAAATTAAAGTCCTAACCAACAATATTAAAATATATACATATATTGAAACCTTTACCAATACAACCCATGAAGAGTCTTAGGTTCAGTACTTTGTAAGGAATTACTATTTCAAGGCCAACAGATATACAAGGAGGTGATCGGGCCAGGATCATGCTCAATCTCCAGATTTTCTTTCTTAATTAATTACTTAATTAAGATTACCCACTTTTTAGAGGCTTGATGTGCCCCAGGAGGGTCTCTCAATCCCAGGATTGATCCATGGCTGATAAAACAGAATAAATAATTACCTGCTATCAGCCATATTAGAAACTAGTTCCTTGAGCTTAGACAGTCAGTGTCGTGCCTAAGTCAGTGACCTAGCTTCCCCCCTTCCGAAATAGGTATATTGAACAATATTAAATAGTTTCAATAATAAATTAATATGATGCTGTTCAGATGGGTAACTTTAAGTAAGGTATTTAAAATTTCATGGGACCAGTCTCACCAGGATCTAGAGAGGAACCTTAAGGAGTAGGAGAACAGGTGGATAATTTGTCGTTATTAAAACTCTTAATTATAAATGATAATACATCTGAATATAATTAAAATTTTTAAGTAATGATTAATACTTACTTGAACCCAATCAAGAATGGTCTTAGCTAAACTTGGAGTGAATTGCCAAACATGTGATAAAGAAAGTCCTTCAACATCGATTATAATATCTGTCCCAGCTATCTGTGTCTTGGGCTCTCGAAGTGCAGCTAGAACAATTATCTGTATTCCTCTAATAATTTCAGTGATGCTTACTTGTTTAGTGTTCCATTTTTCTGAAAATATAAAAATATTTTTAATTGATTTTAAATATTTTATATACACATAGACAGCTCAGTGAGTAAGCCACTGTGCTTTTATCTTGTATTATCCCATGATGGTTAATTATTTATTCTGTGATGTTATCTGTGGATGGACCCTGAGATTGAATGATTCTTCAGGAGCACATCCAGGGTACAAGGCTTAACTGGGTGAAAAGCCTCGGCTTGGTTGAGTGTGATTGTTGCAAAGTTTCCTCCTTGCACAACTGTTGGTGTGGACACAGCACTTGTACTAATAAAGTTCTGAACACAAGAACCTTCATGAATTGTAATGATAGTTTTTTTTTTTAATTATTAATACCAGTGAAGTAGTTAAGAGAAAAGTGTTGGCATCTCCTGTAGCCTTGCTTCTCCCTCCACGAATGGCTTTAGAGTTCATCTGACTCATTGTAAATAGTGTATAAAAGTTTGTCTATATCTGATATAAGATGTTCATTTTACTTTTTTAGTACATTTTATTTTTTCTAATTTATTTATTTTTATTTTTGTTTGTCTTTATCTTATTTGTATAATAGCAATAAAATATATAATATTTTATTGCTATTATATCATTAATTTATTTATGTTTTATATAAATATGGTGTGAATTTCTTCTCTGATCTCTATTATCATCGTCCTTAATAGAGACAGAATGTAATATCTCTCAATTAACAAGTTAAAAAAAATCATTTATATTTCAAATTAAATATATACAAATAATTATATACTTGTAAACTTCGGTTATTCAGTTGAACTCAGTAATCAAAATATTGTTTTTGTTTAGTGGGTTAAATGATCTTTATGTGGGTTTAACATGTTGGTTAGTGACCTATGAGATTACTTGTTAGTATTCTTGCCCATGAAGCCAACTATAAGTTATAATATAGATTGTTTAAGTGCCTTATCTTTGATGATCTGATGCTACTTGTATTGCTTTTTGATGAATACCATGTACTCAAATTAAAGTTTCTAATAAAATAATATGATTAAATCAAATTGGCTTTCTAGACCGGAATCCTGACAAGTGTCATGGTTGTCAATGATAATTTTCTAATATATATCTACATTTATTTTTATTTAGCATTGTTAAGAATTTTCAAATTATATTTTTATTACTCTTGAATTTGATACCCAATAATTCCACCTAAGTTTTATCCAGATGCGTCTTTGTCAAGTAATTCTTTTTTTTTTTTTTCATACAGCCCTGTGAAAAATAAAAACTCAACTCATAAAATTTAAAAGTAAAGTCATTGCACAATAATGTTTTTAGACTTGTTCTTATGTTATTAAATTGCTAAGAAGCTTTAAATGCCCGTTGATATGTTTGATAATTTGCAAACATTAGATTCTATAAACAAATCTTGTTTATATGCTGTTAAGAAGTATAAACTCAATATTTATTTTCAATTATCATTATTATATGGTGTATTAATGGATGAATATTACCTCAATTTTCTTCCCACTGTTAAAGAGAGAGTATATTGTTTTTGTTTTTTTATACTGTGTCGCTATGAGTGAATTAGTCTTTTTTTTTTAATAATGCCCTGTGGAACTCAAATAACTGGAAAGGAGCAGCAAAGGATAAGAACTTAAGGATTTAAGAAGAGGTGAGATGTCTCAGAGGCAAATTGCTCGTGAGCTAAATCACTTCCAGGGAGTTGTCAAATACTTTTTAAATTGTGGCCCAGACAATTATGTGAAAAAGAAAAGAAGTGGAAGATCTCCAAAATTTTCCAATCATGTGAAACGAGCGGTTTTAATAAAAATCTCGAAAACAGAAGCATCCTCTGCACAGATTGTGAGGTATCCGCTACAAAAATTAGGAAGTGATGAGGAATTGGATGGCTAAAACAAAGTTATTAAAATATTGTGAGATTATGAGAAAACCACAGCTCAAAAAACATTATATGCAGCGACGACTGTAGTTTGCTGAAAGAAACATTCAAGAAATTCACAAAATGGTTGAATGAGTGAATATTTAAACCCACCAGTAAATATTTATGTAACAAAATTATATAATTGGATTTAGGAAACTTCCGTATTGATATCTATCACAAGTTTAATAAAATATCAAATTTAATCATTTTTCTTTTCATGACTCACATTAAATCAGTTTAGGATGAGTATTATAATTAGTAACTACAATAAAAAAATTATTCTATCGCAACTATAGTTGAACTCCAGCCGCAAAATCAAAAATCTAGTATCCCTATATTTGCACCAAACCTACTTTTAAGAACATATAATAATAAAACAAAGAAAAACAAAATGGTCATTGGTTCATCTCAGAAAATTAGTGATGGCTCCATGGGAGGGAAAGAATTTAAAATATAGCTACTATTACCAATTTAATTAGTAAACAACAAGGAATAAAATAAAACAAAGTTATATTCATTAGAAAGAGAAAAAATGACACTATTTGTGAGAAATTGATTGTTATAGATCCCTTTATAAAGTTGGTTAATTATGCCTATAGGTTTATGACATTCGATTTTAAATATTTTGAGATTTGAAATTGATATTCAATTTATTACCTTTTTCTCTATTAACAAGGATATATTTCTCCTAAAGCCCTTTTACCTTTTGATTTCTTCCCTCTCAGAAAAACTAAATAAAAAAAATATACCTAGTTCTGCCCCTGAATAGCATACAGCTCCTACATGAAAGTATATTTTTATGATTCAAAGATATTTAAGGTTCACATGTTTTTCATTTTATTCTCCAAATTTGTTGTATTATTATTTATTTGATTTTTTTTTTTTTATGGGTGATTAATATTCAGAACGCAGTCATTATAAAGTTTTTATTCGTGACTATGTTTCAACCCAAACGTTTGGGTCATCATCAGAGGTGAAAAATTGTTTAATACAATCAGAGATATAATATTAGAATATACACTATAGATACAATAGATAATGGTTACTTATAAAAAAATCAAGATTGATGATAGACAAATGAAATATGCAAAAAGTTATACAAACTAAAAATAATGTATACAATCAATTTATAAAAAAATGTAACATTTACTCTTACTAACCGTGTTTTGTGCAATAAAAGAATTCAAGTACTGACACTTTGGTAGGTAAGTAAAAGGGTCCACCGACCCTCCAATCCTCCAACAATCCATTTACTTACTTATCAAAATGTCAGTACTTGAATACCTTCATTGCTTGGAACACGGTTAGTAAGAGTAAATATAGCATTTTTTATAAATTGATTATATACATTATTTTTAGTTTTTATAACTTTTACATATTTCATTTGTCTATTTCATATATCATCAATAACTATTTTTTTATTATTAACAATTACCTGTCATATAATATTATATATCTGATTGTATTAAACAATTTTTCAGCCCTGATGATGACCCACATGTTTGGGTTGAAACGACAGCACCAATAAAAACTTTATAATGACTGCCTCTTGAATATTTATTCAATATTTGATTTTTTTAAAATTTATTTATTTAGACATATAATATTCTGTCACAGGAACAATAATTATATTGATAAATGAACACATTCACACCGTATATACAAAAAAAAATAAATAAAATAAAATTAACAAAAGTAAAATAAAAACTAAATAAAAACTATATGCAATAAAAAAATAAAATAACCTAAATACAAGTAAATTAAAAACATAAAAACAGTCACACCTATATACAATATATACAATCAGGCTGGGAACCCAAATCCCCGCGCTACTCTCTCAACCGCCTCACCGGTGCTAAAGCCAGTGGAGTTTGAGCAAGAGCGCTTTAGCCACATACATTCATGTCTTGAGTGGAGAATCTGGCCATTGCCAGAACTCCAAAATAAATACTATAAAAGATCTCTAGGCCACTGCCGCTTCAACCTTCGAGGAGGGTTGTAGGGATGAGTGGAACTAGATAGGGATTGGGCTAGGGGATTTGGATGATTGATAAGATTCTGATGGAATTTTGAAAATTTTTCAGGGATAAGGTCAAGGACAAATGGGATATTAAGGACATGATGTAGGGTTTTGTTGGTTACATAGAACGGAGCATCGACTATTGTTCGGAGGACTTTGGATTGGATTCAAGTACGTAGGTCCAAATAGGTTTCAGGATTTTCTTGTAGATCAGTAATTTGTTGTCAATTGAAAGTTGAGATTTTCTGGTCAGTAGTCTGTATAATTGGCCGTATCGTCGGTTAAGTTCTTGTCTTTTAAGTCTAGTATGTGGGTTCCACGTTAGTCTTCGGTCTAAGATAAAGTCAAGATACCGGACTGTGTCTGAAAAAGGAAGCTGGATGGAATTAAAGTGGACTGATGGACAGGATCTGCGGCAGAGTGTGAAGGTAATGTGTTTGCATTTGGATTCGTTTACTTTGATTCGCCATTTATTACCCCAGTGCTCAATCATTGTGAGGTGCCTTTGCAGATTTAAAAATGCTATTTCGGGATCTGAGTTGGATGATAGGATGACGGTGTCATCAGAAAATGTTGCCAGGAAGGTATTGGGATGGACAGGGATATCAGCGGTAAAAAGGATATAAAGGACGGGGCCCAAGATGCTACCTTGAGGAACACCGGCTTCAACTGGGTACTTTTAATTACCAAAAGTACATTTATACTGGTAACCTATATTATGATATTTAAAACTTACTGCCTGCCTCAAGGAGAAGTATTCTTCTGCCATGTTGGCTTCTGTATGGAAGTACTGTGAAAATGTTATTCTTGAACACATTTCCTTCTTCTAATGGGCTCAGATTTTTGCATAGCTTAGGGTTTTTCTCGTTAAAGCTGCACCAATGAAGTAACTGAAAATAAGATAAATGAAAAAATACATTGAATGATAATTTCAATTGATTAATCAACGATAATTTTTAATTTTTTTTTCCATTTATTTACATCCCTGCCATGCCCGAAGAGCAATATGGGTTTTTGCAGCAGTGAGATGTTGCACATATCTGCGTAGCATCACACTGCTGCCAGACAAGCAATAATACAGTTTTCATGAGCTGGGTACATTGCTTGATAATATTTCTTTAGGTTTGGCCACGTTCTTCCTTTGCTCCTCCTCTGCTGGGTGGCCTTCCAGGTGTTGCACCTCCTCTTCTTCCCAAGGAGAAATGGGTTGATATCCATATTGATATCTATAATTGATTTCCATTCTGATAGAAATTCTTTGAAGTGTGGATAGTTTTGCGCACTCATTAGCTAAGGAAAATCGCTCTCTGTTAAAACTTAGAGACCGGATTCTTTCAGCAGTTTGACTCTCAGTGCCTCATAGGTAGTACAGGCTGCAACTATGTGCTCGGCAGTCTCTAGTACCCTGCAACTGGGACACAAGTGGTCGAATCGACGCCAACCTGCTCTTCTAATGATGCAAGAGATTCAGATTCTAACCAGGGAACGGGTACATCAAAATATCGAGAACTACACCTTTATAAATGGTTGCAGTTGCTAGGTACCTGAGACCCTAAAATGCACCCCTGGTATGACTGAGTCCATTTAGGGTTAGGGCTACCCTACTTCTCAAATAGTCCAAGTGAAATGTCACGTTCAAATTCTAACACTAAGGTATATGATGACCTCACTTAAACGAATTCTGGCTCCTTGGAAAATCATAATAATAGGGTGAGCCTTATTAGTTCTGCCTTTCAAGAGGATGGCCTGTGTTTTAACAGCTGCCATCCTCAGTTTTTTTCCCTCACATCATCTTCATATCAGGTTGGTGCACCGCTCTGCTTCTTCTTTTCATCTGGCTCTGCTGTTCGAGTCTACCACGACGGCTAGATCATCCACAAAAGCTGTGGCTCAGAACCACTCTTCATCAAGCACTCCCAGCAACTTGTCAAAGACTAGTTTCCACAGAGCGGGGCCAAGGTCAGAGCCCTGCGGACAGTCTCTCTCCATAATATTTTCTACTACATAGAAGTTACCTTTTATTTTTCTCATTCTGTCCTGAAAATAACTCCTCATCAAAGAGTACAAGTTGTGGGGAGTCTCATACTTCTACAGCTGATGAAGTATGCTTGACCGCCATATGCTATTGAAGGCAGAGTTATTTCAAACAATAGTAGCATAACATACTTCTCTTTTCTTTCTTCAACCTTCAAGCCTTCTCTTCAACGTCATGGCATACTCTCAGGAGAGCATCTGCAGTTCTCCTGCCTTTGGTACATCTGTACTGCCATGGATGAGATGCTCCTTCCAACAATCTCCATCAGTGCAATCATACTGTGTCAAACCTCTTAACATCATGTCATCCCTGACATTTTCTATTTATTGTTTAATTAAAACAAAACATACAAGTCCAATTCAAAAAAGCATTGCATTCATAGATTTTATTTAAAAAAAAAAAAATCATGTCCAAATTTGCCAAATAGTCCTTTTCAAATTGCCACTGTTTAATTTATTTGATATGTTTTAAAAAAAAAATTTTTTTTGGAGTTATAGTTTGATTCTTAACTCTAGTGAGAAGCAACAGCGCCATGAAGAAAAACCAAGGGGCCCAGAAATAATATTCCTGTTAAACATTAAATTCATCACCAAAATCCAATGTTCTCTTTTAAAATGTGTGAAATAAAAATATTATGTAAATATATTACAAATATTATTATATAATATATGTGATATAACCTGAACTTTATTTTGATGTAAATTTAGAAGTTAAAAAATAAAACCTTGTAAGCCCCCTCTGAAGCCAAAAGCCTCTAAAGCTGCCTCTCCCCTCTTGTTGGGCCAAAGAACCAGGGAATGTAAAGGGATGTTCTGCTGCCACAATTTAGGGGGCGGGGTGGCCGAGGGGAGTAACAAGTGTATATGCTAACACACTTTGCCCCACAACCTAATAAACTGAAGATTATATGACATAAGAATAATTACAAGTTCGCGTCCTGTTGCCGGGAGAAGCTTTTATCTCTGGCATTAATCCCGTGTCCTCTCCTGTGGCCCGGGGAAACCCCATATAACCTAAAAGACAAGACAGGGGAGGACAAAATAAAAAAGTGGTACAGTAGTACAGTTTACAGTGTGAGAATATCTTATTTTTGTTAATTTTATAATATTAAACTTTAATAATTGTGAATAATTCTTCAGAACAGATTAACGAAAACTGTTTTGAAAAGTTCACATTTTTGATCAGTTGTTACAATTCAACTACCATTGTTTGGACTTAATAAACAATCCTAAAATAATACCATCTCTCCCTCTTAAAAAAATTATTTCTTAAGCGGTTTTATATTATGTAATATTTGAATTTTATTTTATTCTTTTATTCCTCATTTACAGTTACTTTATTGATATGATAAAATTAATTATAATTTAATACATTTTTTATTTTTTTTATTTTGTGCCATGGGGCAATTGCTCTAGTTGCCCTACCCTAAAGCCCACAATGCGTTAATAAGGTATCGTTAGTTGAAAAATACATTGATAAAGAAAAGGTTAAATCTTGGACATCAGAAAATTAATAACCCCCAAATAAATTAAGTATTGAAAATAATAAGGTTGTGGTGTATAGTGGTGCTAATATGATTCAACTCAACAAGTAAGTAAGTTTCAACTAAAGGTATCTGAACCTCAAGAGCATGTTTTTCAAAGTTCATAAGCATTAAAAAAAAGAGAATTTTTGTTTCTTGTTCTTTTTCTTTTTTTAGGTAAAATTAAGTGAAATTGAAAAAGTTTAAATTTAATTTATATTTACCTTTTTTAATGCACTCTGAGGATAGAATTTGCAATATCTCAGAAACGGCATTAGGTACATGTCTTCCTCCCATGGCATGCAAAAATTTTCCAAATCTGTAAATAAAAATTAAATTATTATTTACAAATATTATTGCTACATTATTTATAAAATTTTCTAATTTAATTGCTGGTATTCAATTTACATATTAAATTTGATGATCTTCTTTAAAAAAGTATAACAAATAAAACACTTAGGTGCCTGAAAACATTATTTCATATATTGAATTTTGTCGCTAAAATATGTTATGATTTCATTCAATGATTTGAGTAAAATACAATATCATATGGGCAAGGGTTGGACCTAAAGTGTTTAATTCTAAATAAAACTAATTTTAAAATAGTTTAAATTTAAGTTGATTCTTCGATAGCCGAGATCCTCTATTCATTTTGCATGTATTCTAAAAAGGAATATTGCTAGCTGGATGTTTTAAATATTTTAAACTTTTTTTTAATATTCAGAAATTTAATTAATTAATTTCTAAAAGCTTTGGAAATGCATAGTTAAAATATTTCCAGAGTTTTTAATATATGTTATTAAAGATTCCTGTTAACATTTGATCAGAATTCTTCAGAAGCAATTTTAGAAACTTTAGAGATGTAATCAGGGAGAGATCATAAAAAATACTGCTCTAAGCAGTTTAAAGTTTTGGGACCCCCAAAAAATGTTTCAAGAATAATGAAGTTATATATAAAAAATAAAAGTAATGAAAAATATACAACTAAAGCAAACAAATGTGAAAAGAATTGGGAGTTCTTGCTTTGTTAAAAGTAAATAAGAGATGATGATGGCGTTATTAACATCTGTTATTAAAAAAAGTTTTTCTACTTTTTTATACAACAAAAATTAAGAAATTCATTGTTTTAATTATTTGTTCATTTAATCCATTGTTAATTGATTTTTGGTTCAGCATGCATCACATAACTTTCATTTACCATTTTACTTAAATAATTAAATGTCTGCTCTGATAGAACTAGTTGTACAACATTTAGCAAAAAAGAACCAATCCATATTACTTATGTTTTCAATGAACACTTCAAGTTGAAGTGTTTCTCATTATACCAATAGATTGACTAGAAATTTAGGGAGATCTTTTTTTTTTTTTTTTTTTTTTTTTTAATAAAGACCAAAAATCCATTTTCATTATCTTTTTTTAAATTTGATATTCTATTTAAAATTTCTGAACTAAGATATTTGTATCTATTAACATTGTATTGACTAGTCATATTCAAAACCTCATCATACTCATTTTTGTGGTTCAGTCTTTTAGTTTTGTGGTTTGGGTTCCCTTCCGCTAAATACCATCCAATTAATATTAAATTATTTAAATTTATTATCAAGGCTAAATTTATTAAAATAATTTGATTAAACGTTATTATTTTCATCATATCTTTTTCAAAACCACAAACCTTGCTTGAAATGTTTTCAGGGGCATCCACTTCATAAATTTTCCTCACGAAAGTATGATGAAATAGTTATTTACTAATTTAAAATGAGTATTCAATGCATTTATTTGGCAAGCATAAAAATAATACTATAATTTACTATTTATTTTGGAAATTCCATTTAGTTTCCATCACGGGCGGATCTACGGGTGGGGGAGGGGCTTTCGGGCTGAAGCCCCCCCCACAATGGAAAAATATAACCATGTTTTATGGGAAAAAAAATTAAATAATACCTCTTAAAGTATTATTGTTCGTGTAATTACATTTAAAAGTACTTAAGGAATAACTTAAACACCATTTCATATAGGTAGTTAGTTTCTTTCTGTTTTTCCAATGTAATTATCGTTATTTTTATGAAAAAAAAAGGTTTCGGGCTGAAGCCCCACCCAAAATTAAATCCTGGATCCGCTAGTGGTTTCCATTAAATATTATTAGTTTCCTGAAATCATTATTCATAAATTTTTAATCATTCTCCATTACCTCCTATGACATTATATATTAGATAATAATGTATCTAAAATATTTAGCTTTCCAACAACATATTATACAATATATTACTAATCTCCTGAATATTGATCATTGACTACCACTCTTTCATTAATGCAAGATAAAGAGACGTAGTGATGAGTTTGATTACTTCATTATAAGTTTTAAGATTTCTTTACGCCAATAAAGTTATTTTTAATAAATGTAGTCAGCTTAGTTCATGATTTATAGGAGCATCTTTTAATATCTCCTAATATCAAAATCATATAAAATAGTGAATATGTAGTAAAAGCTAATATTTCAAAAAACTAGAATCTCAATATATGGATAAAGCGTCTGGATGAGCTTATATCAACTAATTATGTGTTTTAGATTTTTCTAATAAGACCATCTTCTTATTAATGGAATCTAGTCAATCGATGTTGTGCAAGTTCGAATTAGAATACTTCGAACAATTTTTCATGTGGACTACAAATATTGATTTGGGTTTTCTTATTTCTTTGAATAGGCAAAATAAATTAAATACTATGACAGTAAAAACATCATAAAATAAACTGAAAATCTAATTTTATTTATTTATTTATTCTTGGCGCTACGGTCCTGTAAGAACCTGGGCCTCTCTTATTATCCTTCACCACTCTCCTCTATTCCGAGCGAGCATTCTCCATCTTCGAATTCCCATCCTTTTCAGGCTGTCGTCTACCTGGTCCAGCCATCTTAGGCGTGGTATTCCCCTTCCACGTTTTCCAGCAGGCCGATCTTCTAGGATCCTCGTTTGGGAATCGTGTCTCGGGGCATACACGCCACATGGCCTAACTATCTGATCTGGTTTCTCCTCACAATTGAGACCAAATCCGTCCTCGCATACTTTTCATATAGCTCTTTATTAGTATGAATTCTCCATTGTCCCTGTCACACACCGGGCCATAGATTCTGCGGAGAACAGAGAAAATCTAATAAATTTGTATAAATTCTTTTTTTTTTATAAGTTCATTTATTGTCCTAAGGATTAAAGAGTATGCTGTGTATATAGCAACCCAATATAATTGGGCAGCAATCTTTTATATTTATATTTTTATGAAAATAAACTATTTCTCTCCTGAAACTATCTGGTGTTGGAATCTTTCATAAGAAATTATCAGGGACCCTCGTATAACCAGAAAACCTTGAAATAAGAAAGGTGTGTTGTCGACATCACAATAATTATCAAGTAGGATAATTATATTTACTTATAGACTTGTGTCCAATTATAGTGTATGCAAAAACTGTTTTCAATGTTGCAACCTGCTAGAAAAAAATAACTAATTTTTTTTCATAAATCCACACCAATCGTCTATAATAATCAGTTCCAATTTTGTTTCTGTTTAAAAAGGAAAATATATAGTTGTCTTTTTATGATGGTGTACTTAGACTCTAATTATCTTGAAAAGTTGTTGTTGCAATTTCTTCTTATGCAATAAAAAACATGCACCTTGAGAAAAACACAAAATTGATTTTAATTCCTTTTCCGTTCGGAATCAGACCATGCATCAAATGAACTTTTTTGTTGGATATTTTATCTAGAATCATCCTCCAAAGTTTGGTTATTAAGAACAGAGACATCTTGTATAAATAACATTAACGTATTGATAATACTTTTCAAGTTGTGTTTTGACATTTCACAAACTATGGGAAACATAATTATCTTACTTAACTCAGCGACATTAGCGCTAAGTCTAACTTCTTTTTTTTTTATATCTCTTGTTAGCGACAGCAGATAGAAAACATCAAACACAAGAAACAAAAATATTAGTATGGTTCAGAGATGGGCACTAGCGGATCCAGGATTTAATTTTAGGGGGCTTCAGCCAGAAAGCTTTTTTTTTTTTCATAAAAATAACGATAATTACTTTGAAAAAAAAGAAAGAAACTAACTACCTATGCGAAATGGTGTTTAGGTGATTCCTAAAGTCCTTTTAAATGTAATTACACGAACAATAATACTTTAAGAGATAATTTTTTAATACTTTTTCCCATAAAACATGGTTATATTTTGCCATTTGGGAGGGAGGGGGCTTCAGCCCCAAAGCCCCCCTCCGTACATCCGCTTGTGGAGATGGATAAACGCTACTATCAGTACTGAATACCAAGTGTTTTATTCAAATAATGACCTTTTTATAGTACAAAAGACTTTAATTACTACTTTAGTTGATGTCAAAGGATTAACTGAAGTAATGGTTTGATTCCGATTAATGATTTCAATTTGAATAAAATACTTTGTACTCTGTACTCAGATTAACATTTGCCCATCTTTGGTCTAGGGAAACTACCATTTAGATATGTGTTTATCCCCACAGTTTGTGAAATGTCTAATCGCACCTTCAGAATTCCTATGTAAAAAAGTAATATTACTTACATGTATTATATTATTATTAAATTCTAATTATTACTTAGTAATCATCAGGGGTACCTATCGCTGTAAGGTCAATGGTATAAAAATAACTCCTCCTCTCCCAAGATACATATTTAATTGCTTTCCTCTTCTTAAAAACAGTGCAAGAATTTAAAAAAATCATAGATCATATACAATTACACTTACAGTGATCTGTTACATGTTTTCTTCTTGTTCCCTGGTTGGAACTTTTCATTCCGAAAATTCATAACCCCATCGAAATGTGCCCACCAAAAAATTATAAAAACCCATCAAAATGTGCTTACCTCAAAAATTTTGATGGCACAACTTGCGCCATGAAACTCCCTTCTGGGCACCTTAGGTAATCTTTAAAAAACACATATAAAATGTTTTTGTTTTTTTAGTTTGGTCTGGTTTGATTTGTTTACAAATTGACTGAAAAGTAAACATTTCCAATTCTTTTATATAAGTTTTTAAACCAATTATATCGATTCCCCTAATTTCATTTCTTAAGGTGTATTTAAAAATTCCATAAACTATGGGACAAACAATTATTTAAATGGTTATTTCACTATGCTTGTATTTTTGTTACTTGTTTTTGATATTTTCCATCTGCTGTCAGTGTCAAGAGAAATAAAATATAACAATACTGTCGCTGTTAGCTAAGTTAGATAATTATGTTTTCCATAGTTTGTGAAATGTCTAAATGAACCTTTACAATTCAATTGCTTTTATGTTTAAAT